GGTGGCCAGGGCTGACCGAAGGCGGCTGCCCCTCGGCAGCCCCAGCCGCGTGTTTCATACTGAACTGCTAGTGCTTCTTGGGATCGAGGCTGTGGCCCTCTCTGCTTGGTGGCTCTGTGTGTCGGGGCCGCCGCAAGCCTCCCACCTGCACCTGGATTAACCCTAGACTCTCTCACGCTGGCCTTTCATCCGAGGGGCTCTCCTGGGCTCTGCGCTGAAGCCTGTCATCTTCTGCCATTTTTTGGAGGAAGCTCTGGCTTTTTGACACCAGGAGAGGAGAGCATGGTTGCATCTGTGTGGTCTCTGCCTCTTCCCAGCCACAGAACGGGAGCTGTTGCCTTGAAGTTGACTTTTCAAGCACCTCCAAATTCCCATGAATTGCTGTGTCTGAGATGGAGGGCCCCGGGAAGCAGGTGTATGTGCTGATCAAAGAGGCTGTGCTTTTCATCTCTCTTCTCCTCAGACACATTCGCTAAGCCATCGGAGGGCAGTCCCAGGCAGGAAAAAGCAATTTGACCTCCTTCTGGCGGAACACAAAGCCAGGTCCCGAGAAAAAGAAGTTAAAGATAAAGAGCATCTTCTGACTGCAGCGAGGGAAGTTCTTCCAAACCAATCTGGGCCGGCACAGGACCCTCTGCCAGGATCTTCAGGGAGCTCTGGGCCGGAACCTAAAGTCACATCCCCTGCAAAATCCAGGCCACCTAACTCTGTGCTTCCTAGGTAAGTCCCCTCCCCCACCCCCATCCCTCACCCCCCGTGGTGATAGAGGCCCAGAGTCCTTGGTGAGGTGGCTGCCTTGCCGGGTTGTGTGTGCTCTGATCACGTGTTAAATGGAAGCCGTCATACCGGCCTCGTAAGGCGGTTGTGCACTTTAAATGAGATAATGGGCATAAGGGGCTCGGCCATAGTGTTCAGCGGATTTTACTGCTGTCACCATTGCCATCGTTTTCTTCGTCATCACCGTTCATGGCAGATCTCTGTCAGAACAAGAGTGAGCTGAGAAGAAATACCTGGAGGGTACTTCAGCCACCAGGCTGCTCTCCGGGCTGCCTGGGTGGTTAGCTTAGCTGGGGATTCCTGGAGCAGAGAGTGCGGAAACCTGGGTGGACATGGGTATCGGCACAGGTGGGAGCCCGTCTGACACACATTACTTTGTGAATTTTTACCTCCAACCCTCCAATGACCCAGGCGAAGGGGAAAATGGCATAACAGAGGCTTTTTGCTCTGCATTTTCCTGCACGCTCAGAAAGCTGAGCCACCTGTCTGTGGCTTTATTTCGTTGTCCTGGAAAGAAAGGAAAGAACAGGAAAGAGAATTAGAGCCCATTTGGATTAAAATCCACACGTGTGTTTTGAATACCACCCTGAGCAGCAGACCACCTTCCAGGTAACAGGACAGGGAACCTTCATTCAGAAATATTAAGCACAGGGCTACAGAGATGATGAATGAAACTAGGTTCTGCTTTTCAAGAATTTCGTTTAGAAGATGAGGTAAGACTCAAATGTTCATAAAGTCATGAAAAGGAAGCATTAATGATACCAGGTGAGGGGTGCAGGCCCTGGTGTTGCTTGATAATTTTTAGTGCATTCTGTGTGCGTCCGACAAGGTCCAGTCCGTGAGTGGGCTGTGAGAGAGGGGTGTAACAGAAGGGGAAGGAGTTGGTTCTTAAAGTAGCAGCAGATACTCGGTGGCCGTTGCTGCTGATCTGCCAGCTTCTCGCCCTCGAGCCTTCCACGTTGGGACCAGCCTGACCCAGTTTGACGGTCAGAGTCCCTCTGTAAGAACGGCCGGCCTCAGCCTCTGGAATCAGGGGGAGTCACAGCCCTCACGCATTCCATCACAACCGTTGTCGTGTGTTGTCATCCATTTCCATGCCCTTTCCTTGCCGCCTCGCATTTTACGTGATCCTTTCGTGATTGCTTCTGGGTGTTGGTGAAGGGGGTTACCCTTGCTTGAGAGTTGAGGAGGCAGTCCTGTTCCAAACTTCTGGGGAGGGAGGGCTTTGATTCTGCCTACAGTGACTTTCAAACTTCTTTGGGACTGCAGAACTTTTCCATCCCCACAAAACTTTACATGGTCCCCATAGAGAAGCAGACCTGCCCCCTGCCGAAAGCCAGCACAGCCCTGCTCTCATCACTCATGTTCCCAGAGCCTGCTGACCCCCTGACCTTCTGAGGGATCACCTCATGTTCCCCAGGGACCCCAGGGAACCCAGTTTGAACACCTAATATACGCTTTTGACTGATGGAGGCACTTCTCACCCAAGCAGTGGTACCCGATGAACCGAGAAGCCAGGGGGCAGCCGTTAAAAATATAAAGCAAGCAATGGAGCCTTAGTAGTTTTGTTTCCTGTTCTTTCCTGGCTAGAGAAATGCAGGTTTACGTGTTCTCTTCCGGAAGCAGAAAGAAGAGTGAGGTTAATCAGCAAAAGGGATTCTCTGAAAGGAAGGGGGAGGCACGGGAGAGCATTACAAATGTTGCTAACAGTAATTTTTGAGGGTGCTTTTCAAATTTGGCATAGAAACCAAAAAACTCAGGGTGGCCTCTGGTTCATTGTCAATGAGGAATGACACCCTCTTCCACTTGTTTTACAATAAGATGAGACACCCCCCATGCAATCAGAGATGTAAAAAGCATGATCAGAATTTAATGTTATAATCACATAAAACTTAAAACATTTATTTTACTCATGTTACTATATATATTTCAATTACACTAATTATCTACAATGGGCCAAAAAAATATTATACATACATGGAATTATCATAATCCCTTCCCAATCATGAATTCCTTTTCTTGGAAATATTAGCGTGTGTGAATGTATTTCTTACATATCGTTTTGATAACCTTGAAAACATTTCGGCTTTCTCATTCTTGAAATGCAACCCATTCTTGTCAGGGGTTTCTAAAAAGGAACTTGGGTCTAGAACGGGAGAAGTTAACGTTAGAGAACACTGGTCGGAACAGGATTGGAAGCGCATACCTCAACTCCATGTTTACTGACGAGGTGAGCGTGGCCATGTTTCTTAGTCTCTCTAGCCTCAGCTTGCTCATCTGTGGAATGGAGCTGGGAAGGATTTCGTGAGATGAAGTACCACGCTCTATAATAAGTGCTGCACTGATGGCCGCTGTTAGTAAGTGGTGGTGACACTCAGTGGGAAAGCAGTGTGAGTAAACACAGTCCTTGGTGGGACCTGATTTCCATTTGCCCGTCCTCCTGCCCTCTGTCCCCCAACGTGGGGGACATATCCATCTGCTCTGTTTCTTTGTCCCCAACTCTAAGGAAACAGATTACTTGCCCCAAAGAGCCCAAGGGCTATGGATGACCAGACCAGCCCTACCATCAGGACTCTGTTGGAAAAGGGGAGGAGGGCAGAGGGTCGCACTGGGCTCTGACCCCGGGGAGAGAGGGGGAAAGCTCAGCTATGGAAGCCAGTACTGACAAAATCTGGGCACATTCCCCTCTGTCTTGAGAAAGCTCACACATCCCATCTTAAAGCATAAAATGGCAAAATCCATTGAATTTTAGACTGACAAGGGGCAGTGGGCAAAGAGACAGAAGGTCCTAGATGCCTGAAAAAGGACAGAGTGAAAGCAACTTCAGTTATGACTAATTAGGATAGTGTTATGCCAAATGATAAGCCATTTCTCTCCTTGACTTGTATTTGTCCCTGCGCTTTTTCTACATTCATTTCTCAATATGGGGAGGCTTTGAAGTCTTATTAGCTCTGCAAGCAATTTCCTCATCTGAGAAATGTAGATAATAGTTAAATGCGCAAAGGCAGTGGGTCACCTGGATGAGGTGTATGTGACATGCCTCGCACATAATAGGGACCTGATTAAAGTCATTACCTCGTGCTCTCTTCCCCGAAGCACTCAGACGGGCTGGTGCCCACGCTTCCTCACCGTGGTGGGGCGAAGACTTCCTTTCAGTTTCCCTGAGTGGAACTGAACAGGGACCATCACCACATACATTGTCTTTAAACCACATTGGTAAGTGGAGAGGGGAGGGATGAGGTGGTGTGGAAGGAGGAAAAGTGGATGGCAGCCTAGCAAACTTGAGTGACTTTTTTTTAATGTATTTTTATTGTTTTTTCAGAGAGAGAGGAAGGGAGAGAGAGAGAGAGAGAAACATCAGTCAGCATGCCTCCTGCATGCCCCCGACTGGGGACCGAGGCCAAAATCTAGGCATGAGCCCTGACGGGGAATCGAACCAGCAATCTCTTGGTGCATGGGAGGATGCTCAGTCCACTGAGCCACACCGGCTGCGCTTGAGTGGGTTTTTCAACACCTTCTCATGACTCGTTGCCCCGTTCCTCATCACTTCTCACCAAGCCGTGGTTTTTCTGAGACACGAGCTGGTTCTAGTGAACTCCTTCCCTCCAGGTTCCACCCAGGAGTGCAGTGATCAGAATGGGAGGTCTTGAAAGCATCTACCATGCCATCATTGCCAAGAGGTGCATGCATCCTGAATGAAGCAAGCCTGAAAAGGAATGGATTCAGCTCTCCTCTCGGTGTGCCTGTGTACATGTGCGCCTGTGTACATGTGTGCCTGTGTACATGTGTGCCTGTATACATGTGTGCCTGTGTACATGTGTGCCTGTATACATGTGTGCCTGTGTACATGTGTGCCTGTGTACATGTGTGTCTGTGTACATGTGCGCCTGTGTACATGTGCACCTGTGTATATGTGCACATGTGTGTCCGTATACATGTGTGCCTGTATACATGTGCGCCTGTGTACACATGTGCACACCATTATTCACTCATGTTCCTGTCTTTGTCCTCTGAGCTGATTTTGCTCTAACACGGTGTTTCCATGCTTGTCTTTATTCTCCAGTATTCTCCCCTTATCGCCTCTCTTTTACCTGACATCTGGAACTTACTATTGAGTGTTTCAACCTTTTTTTTTTCTCTCTTCTTTGGAGTAAGGAAAGGTTTATTGATCAAGAAGGTGCCAACCAAGAAGATGGGAGTCCTAGTAGTACCTCAAATTCATCTTAAGAAAGCACCGAGTTCGGGCTTTTATGTCAAGGGGAGGGAAACGGGAGTGGCAAGAGGTGATTGACCACCACAGGCATCTGGGCGCTGCCAGTAGGGTCTGAGGAAGATTGTGCTGGTTGCTGTGAGTTCAGTCTCCATCTCAGTGTTTCTGCAAATCATCTTTAAACAACACACTCTTACCTTATCTCCTCAAGCCGCACACACAGTTCCTTCAATGATGAGCAGGTCTATATGCCAGAATAAGCAGAAGCTGTTAGCCAGAAGGCCATGGGGACAACGCAGGCTTGGACAGGTGGAGTCAGGGAGGCTGAGCATTGCACTCTCTATAGCTACCCCTTTTGTGTAGTTTATTCCTCAGTATTGAGGGAAATAGGGGGGCCAAGTCAAGGTTCAATTAAGAGGGAAGATTAGCTTTTTAAGATGGAGTCAGATCTGCCTGCCAGTGTGCCCCACTTATCTGGTTCTTACAGTCTCACATGCTCACCTCTCCCATAATGGCCCCTAAGCCTCAGGGGGGGCATTCTGAGTGGTGTTCAGTTTAAGCAAAGAACAAGGGTTAACTTTTATTACTATGTCCCCCGGGACCCAAACTATGATGCGTTGGCCACTGCACAAACACTTCCCTGTTCAGCTAACAAGTAATCGAAAGCCATCCTGTTGTTTAAGGACCCACATGCCAAGGACTCTGCAGTGGTCTGTTCGAGTCATAGAGTTTA